CAAGCGGGATACCATAGGGCAGTCTATTGGGCCCATTTTTGTTTGTTCGTTTCATTAACGACATGCCAGAAGCTATACACTCCTCCATACAAATGTTTGCGGATGATTCCAAGTTATTTAGGGAAATTACGAACCAAACAGACTGCGTAGAGCTGCAAAAAGATCTCTGTGAGCTTCAAGAGTGGTCGAAGAAATGACTGATAAGATTCAATGTCACAAAAAGTATGCACCTGGGTTGTACTAATTGGACGAAGAAACTGCAATAATAAAGACAATGTGAAAAGGACCTGGGTGTGTATGTTGACAAAGAACTGAAGTTCTCAGGCCATTGTGAGAAGAAGGTGAATTAAGCAACTAAACTATTAGTTCTTATAATAAGGTTGTTCAGATATCTAGACGGTCCATCCATCGTAACAATCTTCGAGAGCGAGGCGTTTCCCTGCCTGGAGTACTGTCACCCTGTCTGGTCCCCAAGATATGCTAGGGACTGTCCTTTGATTGAAAATATCCAAAGGAGGGCCACCAGACTGGTGCCTGCACTTCGGCACCACAACTATCCAGAGAGATTAGAGCGCCTGCAACTGCTTAGCCTATACTACAAACAGGTAAGTGGTGACCTAATTGAGGTGTATTAACATCTCAAAAAGCACTCCTCAGTCGAGTGTTCATACCTGGAGCTGGAAAACGCCCGCCCCGCAAGGGGTCACAGCTCAAGGTTGAAGAAGCAGCAAGTCCAGAAAACTGTGAGGGTGAACATTTTCGTTGAGAGAATTGTGAACTCTTGGAACAACCCGCCAGAGCGTTGTGAAGACACCGAGTGAGATCTGTTTCAAGACCAGACTTGACCAACACTGGAGCAGGTTCAGACACATTCAAGAGCCAGTGCATACCCAGTACTTGCCTACAGTGCATAAAAAGAGACATAACCAACCATCCAAGTGGCTAATGAGCTGATCAGTGGCAAAAAGGAATTAAGAAGAAAGTTACCCATAGTCTGGAATAAATTAAACAGTGACACACTTCCCATATGTAAAGTTCTGGAAACGAGTTCACAGCAACTGGGTCAGTGGCTCTGCATATATAGTCATTGTGTTTACCAAAATATAAGGCTGGAATTTCTTTTAAAAGCTTTGCTAGTTTCTTTTTCAGAGAAGAAAATCATTACAGATCAATCACAAAGAAACTTTTTTTGTATTCCAGTTTTAATATTAAGGATGTGGGGAAAAAAAAAAACTATCGTGAAAGAAAAAATCGTAACCATTATCTGTATTTACCTAAAATTCTTTTCATTCATCTGACCATGAGCATCTGCAGGATGGGATGGGTTGGAGGGGGTAGAGTTAGGTTCCCTCCTCCCCCTCCTGGATCGTTTCGTGAAAAAATATGTGAAACATACAGTACCGTATTTGACATAAAATAATAAAAGAAAAGAAAATGAGAAATGCTGTTGGTGGTACCGTGGTAACGAGTGTATCTTTCGCTACTATGTCATGTGCTCGAGTCCTGCTCGGCCTGGACACAAGTGATAAGTGTGTTATCCAAAGCAACACTACTGAACATCACAGGTTTCTTCCAAGTACTCTGAATTCCTCCTTTATATTGGTTGGCTTGGCAAATTAACATTATTCACGCTAGTTTCATTTTTATCATCTACAGTATTATAAAAGTTTGTAATATTTAATCGCACCATTTTGTCGAGTTATTTGGTAGAGTTGTTGCTTTGTATAGCTGGCCATCGACAGTGTGGGTCATTATAGCCGTTTTGGTATATAAAAAGTGTGGCAAATTTGCAGCTGGTGATTGAAGAAATTTACTTTGCTTAAACTGTACTTAAATATTTATGGCACTTGATGCAGTTACTGAATTTTAAAACATATAAGCATGAAAACAAAATCCGATTGTATTTATTATAAAAACCAAGAGTTATGAGCTGTAGTAAGTGCCATAAATATTTATAAGCAGGTTATGTCACCACTTGTAACTGGGCACATGCAACACAGCTTGCATGAAGCTAGTCAGCCGTGACATTACCACCACCAATACACACCCCTGACAGACGGACATTTATTGAGTTATATGCCTGAAATTTATTATAGTTAAACCACTAAACAAGCAGGAATAGAATGATAGTGGTGGTGATACTCAGCCCTCATATGCAGTTGTGTTAGAAGCTTGTCATTTTAAATTTTTCTCCTGGAGAACCCCAACTGTGCTTGGGGCTTAATCGTGCAAGTGAACCAGCCCTCAAACACAGTACTGTAAAATGATTGTAAGGCATGCACGCACATATGTATTTAAAAAGGTTTATTTTCATTCAGAAGTGTGTTTTTATTACTTTGTTTGGGTGAAAAATTTCCACAATCCAAATTTTGGAATTATGGTCCCAAGCATCAAATGTTCAGAATTTTGGAGGTTCCGAACTTTATAATTCCGAATTTTTGAGGTTCGACTGTACAAGCAAATTCGCTCTTACACAGGGATCCCAGGAGTGTAACCCTCATGTACTTTGAGACCTTACTGTATTGTATACTAAAGAGCCCTAAATGTGGCCAATCATGGAATAAGATCGGCAAAGCAACACTAATGAGATGATATTGGCCCAAAATATTAAGAAAGATCCAAAGTCCTTTCATGGATGTGCTTGGAGGAAAATAAAGCCGAAAGATATTATGGGCCTTCTAAGGGATGAAAACAACTTGGCTCTGGAGGACGATAACCAGACAGTAGATACCCTAAATGAATACTTTACACCAGTGCCCACACAAGAGATGCTGGATAACATGCCAGGGTTGAAAAATGAATTTAAGAGATAGCAATCACAGACATCATTATCAAAACTCCAGGAGTGGATGGAGCATTGACTAAGGTGATAAAGTAGACTGAGGGCCTTAGGAATGACAACTTTTTTGACAAGATTAGATAGGATGCATGTCGCAGATATTCAAAATCGAATGGGATGGAAAATAAATTTTTCAGTATATGTGTCACCATTACAACTTCAAACTCACCAAGGTGTCATGTAAGACAAACATAAGGAAGTACTTGTTTATGCAGAAGGTGGTTGACCTATGGAAGAGTTTACCAGGACAAGTCATGGAAGTGAGAACAGAACTGGGTTTCAAAACAACCTTTGACAAGGCTATCAAAAACAATTGGAGAGATCCTACATGGGCCACTGGCCTTCTTCACCCGTCGTTACCATCTCTAGTGGGGTGGCTATTAGGAGAAAGTCTCTAGATTTCTACCATTTTATCAACATTTTCTTGTAAATTACTTGATACAATTTAGTTTTTAGATATATAATTGTGTTGGTAAAGCCAGAAAAAAACTAGCATTGTATAAGAGAGAAGGAATAAATTGAAGCACCAAATTCTTAAGTATCCTGGTACAGAGCTATTATATTTTTTCAATGAACTGATTAAAACCGATTACAGCAAAAGGCATTCACAGTTCACATGAATGAATAGCACTTTCAGAAGTCATTTTTGAGCATATAACTATAGCGAGTTATAGCCTAGTAAAATTGATACAAATTGAAAATAGAATTGCATGCTCTAACATGAACCTTATGTCCACAAAAAAATATCCTGCTTGGTTCGGATGCCCAATAATAATTGTCATATAACATCTGACCGTGTGGCTTTTCAGACTGGATGCACTGCCACACTAATATGACATCCTTTGTTTTTGAATATGCCACACAAAACAGTAGTACAGGAAACTTGAGGAGTGTTGTTACTGCTACTTGAAATCTCTCTAATAACTGCAAACACTCCCCGGTTTATGGAAAGGTTCTGTACCTGGACCCTATCCATAAACTGAATTTTCCATAAACCAAAAAAAGACCCTTCCATAAGGTAAGTATGTACTGTACCCTGTACTGTATTTAACATGGAGCACATAAAGTCTCACAAGGTGATTTTACGCATGATCCTTCGCAAATAGTGTTTGTTACGCAGTACTAGTTACCTTCCGTAATAAAACAAACACTTGTGTAACCCAAAGTTTTTTTTATAATGGGACTTATGGGAGGCATTCTGTATCCTCGAATTTCTGTAAGCCAAGTGTTCTGTAACCCGGAGTGTGTCTGTACATTACTTTTTAATTTATTTCTATACATAAAAATGAAAATAGGTTTAGTCCATTCAAGTTCTTAGTACGACCTAACCAGTACTTATGATGTTTATTTGTAGTTGCATTTTCAACTACCTACTCTGTGGCCATCCCCATAGGAGGGGAGATCCCTTTGGGAGCAAGAATTCTGTGGTTAAGCAATTTAAGATAAATATCAGCAATAACTTTTTTCACTAAGAGTATCTTTGGAAGCTAAAAATAAAAGCATTTGTCACTGTCCTTAAACCCAAAATGCCAGGGTTCCTAAAAAGCTTGGTAAACCAAAAAGGAATTGCCTTTACCAAATTGTATTTCTTGGTTGATTAAAATCAGGTCGCTTCCTGAAATTTAATTCTGAACCCATCGGGTTAAATAGCCATATTAATCCTTTTTATCAAGAAATATATAAAACTGTTAATGTAACTTAAATTTCTTTTAAAGTAATATTTCTGCATGAGGATTCATGATACTAATAATTTATGAAAGCAAAGTTGTCAATTTATGTGGGATGTGTTTTTAGAAAACAGAAAATAAACAGCACATGCTCTTTTCCCATGTAGTGTACAGTAAGTAGTACTGTATTGTGATTGAGGGATGTGTTCTCAGGCCAAAATTTTAGATACCTTAACCCTGTACCTCACCTAACTAAATATTAGAGAAATATGTTTCAAGTCAATACAGAACACAAATGAATGTACGTAGATACAATGGTATTCACCAAAATAAAACTGAGATTGTGTACACCTTGTTGACAGGTGTACAGTATTTGCAAGCAGTGCAAAAAGATGACAGTTAACTTCATAAAGATTTACGAGACAGTGCCCTATTTAAATGGTACAATAAAAGATAAGCAATTTGTTTACTTCTAGGAAAATGATTGCTATGGAAAAATTTCAAACTTTACCATTCCCTTCCACAGAATACAAAACTTTCCAAACACTAAATGGGAACCAACAAATTAAGTACAGTATACAGTAAATATTAATCACATGCTATAAATCAAGAGTTTGTCGGTGAAAAGTCGGGTAGTTTCCAGCATTTGGCTGTAAAACAGACAACGTGTAGCAACAACACAGGTTGCTGCAGCCACTAAGGCACGGAAGCCCCACTCTCACACCCACACACACCTACATACACAAAAATTTCAACAATATTGTATACAGTCCCTCAAGTATGTATAAAATGCACGTTAAACAAAATTATGAATATGATTGTGTTTCATGTATATAAAATACAATATTAATTATTTACACCAAGTTCTGTCACATAATGTAATTACAAAATATTTAGAGAGGACAAGCAGGTTATAGGTCCCATGCTGGAGGCAACAGAGGACTGAAGAAGCCCTACACGAGGGATAACAAGGAAAGTAAAGCTTCAACACAACACAGGAGCCTCAGACTCCTGCCTGCTTTTAGTCCTTTTATGAAGTAAAAGAATAAATATTTAACATATTGTGAAATACAAGGTTCATCTGCGATGTACAGTAACCTCACTTACACAATAACTGGTCTACTGGAATATAACAGTTTACATCTGCTCTTGTCTGCAATATCAAAGTGGCCCTTTACAGTGGTTTAGCTTCAAAACTGGCAAGTTTTGCTGGCTCAGTAGCTATGATCTGGATTACATGGGTTAAAGTGAAGGCTTGATGGTTCTCATACCAGTAGTAAAACAATACTGCATTAAGTACCTAAATTGAATTAAGGATCTGATAATTTTGTTGGGTATCCTTGGTCAAATTGCCTTACTGTTTACTATTGGAAACTGTATACTGTACCTCCACAGTTTATGTACATCACATATTTGAATAATACAACTGTAAACCTGTAGGATGATTTTACTGAATATCTATTATCATTAATTATTATTGGCACTTTACAATGAGAGTGAAGATGGCCACATTAAAAATGAAATAACAATGTATAACTAGCTACATTATTTTCTACCTGTTGACATTTATGGTAGATACACCATAATTCTTATTAATGAGTGTTGTTTAATTACCTGGAATAAATTTCATAGATTTATGGCTAAAGTGCTTTTGACTGCAGTTGTTATTGTTGCTTTATTCTATAAAACTTTATATTCTAGTAGTGTTACACATCCTAGAAAATGGTTACATCAGTAAAACAACCTTCCGACAAAACTCAAAAGAGCTGAAATCCTGAGTTAGTAGCTGCCACCTTTTATGTATTGCAGACCAGCAGCACAAATTCTTATGGACAGTATAGAATAAGCACTATTTCATGCGATTGAGCACTTTGTCAGTTATGGTAATAAGAGCTTTCTGTTCACTAGAAGCTTTCAAGGAACTGATGACTTTTATAGCCGTCTCACAGTGTTGACGAGCCAAGAACTGTGTTTGTTCTAACCCATCACTCTTATGTACAAATTCAAAGGCTTTCTGAACATCACCTGGTTCTTGAAATCTCCGCATAATCATTGGATTCAGCTCCGGAAACTGAAAAAATGTAAAGGTGAATTATCTTATACGTACTGTACATATTCAATTGTATAATACAATCACAAACTATATAACCATTGCATGTCTAAAACAGATTTCAGTAATATAATGAAATTACCTCTACTATACAAAAATGTAAAAAAAAAAAATTTCAGTAATCCTTCGACAACCGTGGGGTCTGAGTATAGTGGGATGTAAAGGTTTGGGGAAGTGCACCTCTGAGAGACATATCTAAAAGTCCATTAATGTACAGCCTAAGGTTAAAAATAAGTACACTACAGTTTTTCCTATAAAGTAATGTACTTATATATAATTTAAAAAATTATTTATTATACTGTACAGCATCCATGTATGAAGGAAAAAAAAAACAACAGTGTACAGTAAAGGGGCACTTTCCCCCTGACAGCACATCTCTCAGTGCTCTCCCTGGCAACACAAATATGTGTTTTTATAACTTAAATGTTTTTCATACACAAATGTGTGTACTTTATAAAAAAATTTATGTGATCATATGCATATAAAAAAGATCACACAGTAAAGGTGCTCCTCTAATTACGAACAAGTTATGTTCCTGAGGCTTGGTCTCAAGTCCAATTTTACTCTTGTAGATACCGAACATCTTAAAAATCTCGCCCTTGGGGATAGCCGTGAGTTCCAAGTACTACAGAAAGTATATCATTTTGATGGCCAAACCTTAGAGAATCTGACGTTTGTAGTATAATTAGCGTGATTTAGCTAGTTTTAAAGTCATTAATCTCCTGAAAAGAATATGTCAAATTCTTATCTCCAAGATCTCAACATATAACCATAGAAGTTCCTTGTCTGAAATCCCGCTGAAGTTGTGAGAATGACGTTAACAGCCTGTGTATTTGATGCCCATTTCACTTTTTCCTAGCAGAAGAAATTTAGGGTTGGTGAGGGATTACTGTATTATTTGAGAATCTACTTCTTAGCAAAAACACAAGAGTATCATTGAATTGTTACCTTTTCACAAGCAAAAAGAACAGGTGCTGTGGCAAGACCTAATTTTAAGTCAGCAGCTGTTGGCTTTCCCATCATATTTGATGAAGCAACAAAATCTAGCATATCATCAACAAGTTGGAAGGCTATTCCAACATTACGTCCATATTGGAAGGCTACTTCCTGCAAATTTTCATCAGCACCAGATAATAGAGCCACCTGAAATAAATAGTGAGATGATTACAGTGTTATGACAGATTAAAGTATCTGTCAAAAAAATTAAAGTTTGGGGCCAAGAGACTTCTGTAAAATGGATACCAGTAATTACATGAAGTGGATACCATCATAAATGTTTGTCCGAGGAAAGCAAATAATAAACCATAGGCCTTGTGTCAGTGTGATTATATTACAGAATTAGTTCTGCAAATACTGTACCTGTACAATAATTAACTTCAATATTCTCAGGCACTTTCAATGTTATTAAGTCTACATATAATCTAGAAATGTGTCACCATTCTACTACAATCACCATATACCATGCTCCTTGAACTCAATGAAGACCAGTAGACTTGTCACTCACACCACCATGTACACAGTCACTGAGCCAGTTACCTGACTGTCCAATCTGTCCATTTACTCTCATTTAACATTTCGAAAATTAAATAAAAGAAAATTATTCTTGTCTTAAATCTTACATAAATTAGATATTTGACTGATAGATACTTTACTGCATAGTGCTCTTATTCTCTCAGGTTAATTACTGTACTGTACTTCCACAAATGGAAAAGAGCTTGCCAGTAACTCTATATTTAATGCCATTTTTTTTTAGTTAGCAGGATGGTGTACTGAATGTAATACTCAAACCAAATACCAAAGCCAGTTCCTATCACCACACTTTCATCCATACTTAAACATCTTTCATATATATATACACCATAATATTGTTCTTACACTTCACCCTCAATTCTCCATCAAAATTAATGTCTCCCACAGGCAACAGACAAAAAGAATCCTATGACTTCATTTTTGTTTCTCTCATGCTCAGTGTTTATATCATAACTTATCTCTTATATTTCTCTTCTCATCCTTTCCTTTCTACTACCTTAAACATATAACTTGTCATAAATGCATCTCAGAGTTATATATTGTACCCTGTACTATCAATATAAAAATTAAGTTTTTCTTCCATAGATCAATGTGCTAAGAAAACTTCCTCCTACATTACTTTTCCATTACTTTTACATTTGTGTGGTTTAGTCTCCACCATCAAACCTCTAAATAAAGCAACCATTTAAATCTTTTTGTTATATTCATTAGTATTTTATACAGTATTACTTTAGCCACTGTAAAAAGGCAACACACTTTTGCCAATATTACTAATGCACAAGTAATGTTGTGATATAAATGATTAAGATATCACATTAATTAATAATATTTAGAAAAAAATATTTATTATCAGTATGGGCTTTAACAACAACACAAATAAACACATCTATTAGTTCCTTCATTCTAGGGCAGTGGTTCTCAACCTTTTTCACTCCATTCCCCCCTTGAGAAATTTTCAACATCCTCGTGGCCTCCTTCATTTTTCTCCCAGAACAGACAAGTGATAAAGACTAAAGAATGATAAAGAAGGACAGATAAATAGGACAAGAGTTAGAATGGCAAACACACACACACATTCACATACATAACACACCCATGCACTCACACATAAAGCACACATACAGTCATACACAAACATGCACACAGGTAAACATTCACACTCAAGCTAGCTAGCTGAAGTGTACTTCCTGTAAGCAAGAACACGCCTCCTTTGACAAGCACTGCCCAACTTGGAAGAATGAGAAGAATAGTGAGTCATACCAATTTAACACTAAAAATGGTAGGATTATATAAGTAAAGAATGAGTATGAACAACAATGGCACCAATAAATAAGGAAATAATTAATAAAGGAAGTAAACAAATATTTCACCCACGAAAGCAGCGACCACATGAATTATGAAACAAAATAAGTAACACCAATTACGGAGTACATTATGCTTGAGTCGAGCTCAAACACAATACTGTATATGGTTCAGAGACAATATACTCCACTGTTTTCGTGATGGTATCCCAGGCCAGACTGAGATCATTCGGTCCTATCACCACTTGCAAAGGGATGACACACGGACACGTACTGAACAAGTCAGTTCAGCAGCTCGGTCCAGCGCCTGTCACACAGACAGGGACTGGACCTGTGAAATCTTAAATAATCCGTAAAATAATAAAAAAGATTAGCACCAGAGTATGTAAATACAGATATTAAAATTGTAGTGTCGTTATGATTAAACAAAATGACAAAAAAAAAGAATGAAAATTCTCTTCTGCCAAGTCAAAATATGTAATACAAGTTTTGTTTAATTCAGATCCCCAACATTTTTGGAAACGTACAATTTATAACAGCTCACCGTGGCTCCCCTAAATTCTTGCCGTGGCTCCCTTGGGGGCCATGGCCCCCAGGTTGAGAACCACTGTTCTAGGGTGAACCTCATAAAATAATCAGATCAAAACTTTTGTCTCATTTTCCATCATTAAGTAACAGCAGTACATATCTTGCAAATAAATATTTTCATCATGCTCTAATACTGTATGAAGAGTATCTCAATAATGGCAATTCAGTGACAACCTCAACATTTTACACATTTTTCTGAAATAAGAACGAAAATAATTTTGGATACATACAGATTTGCAGCTATACGCAAGGAGTGAAGCAGTTTTCTTGAAAGTTTTCTTAAGGTAATGTGCAAATCTTTCATTCTCATTTTCCTTTGATCCAAGTTGCATGAATTCTCCTTGTACCAAGTCAGCCAGTACCTGGAATAAAAATTAGTAGATGAGAGGGTTTTTGGAGGAACGTGGTTATGTGGCAGCAATAGATGAGATATGCTCCAGGTAGTTCATGAATCTTATAGTAGGTACTGTACTGAGTTTGTAACAGATATAATGGTCTGAGTGAAGTGTAAAGGTTGGGTTAGTAAGAAATGGCTTGCTTCATGCTGCTATGTTTTTCAGAGACAAGGTTAATTTACAAAGCTTATATGGTTTGAAGGTACAGTATTTTTACCCCCCAGGAGAAGTGCAGCACCTGATGGTGGACTTTTTAAAATTTTAACTGTAATTTCTTTTCTTTCATCCTCTTTGCTATTGATCAACTTGTTAGCTGCTTGGGCGGTCATTCATGTCTCTGTTACGCGTTGTTGGCAAGTACTGAGCATGTACTGGCTCCTGAATGTATCTGTAAATGCTCCAGTGTTGGTCAAGTTTGGTTTTGAAAGAGTTCACACTCGGTACGGTCACATTACTCTGGCAGACTGTTCCAAGAGTTTACAATTCTCATTCCAAAAAAGTTAGCCCACCACAGTTTTCTGGATTTGTGGTTTTTTCAACCTTGTCCGTTAGCAGTGACCATTTGCGGGACAGGCATCTGCCAACTCCAGGTCAACGGAGTAATGCCATCCTGGACATTCATAAACTTGCCCATCAATAGTATAAGCTAAGCAGTTGCAAGTGTTTTGATCTTTCTGGGCAACTGAAGTGCCATAGTGCAGGAACCAGTTTGGTGGCCCTCTTTTGGACATTTTCAATCAACTGACATTTTCTAGCATATTTTGGGATCAGTGGGGTGACTTTTTTTTACTTTTAACCTCTTCACCACTGATCGGTTTGTTAGTCACTTGGGTAGTCGGTCACATCTCTGTTATGCACTATTGGCAAGTACTGGGCATGAACTAACTCCTGAATGTATTGGAACCGGCTCCAATGTTGGTAAAGTCTGGTCTTGAAAGAGTTCACACTTGGAGCTGTCACAACACTCCCTGGCAAATTCTTCCAAGAGTTCACAATTCTCACTCCGAAAAATTTTGCCCTAGGGTTGCTTAACCACTTGTGCAGTAATATCATATTTTATTTTAATGTTGATATTTACACTTAATTAGCTTTTATCTTATTTATTTTATAGTTTCAATTAATTATTTTAATATTTGGTGTCAAATAGCCACAGGCTGCGACGCCAGATACTGTATTTCACCCAATCAATCAATCAATTAATCAGTCATCCCTCATTTATGAGCTGTAATACCATACATTAAATCCATTTCTCAAATATGCTTGGTATGCCATCTGTACAGTATAGTATATCAGAATTATTTAATTCTTCAATATAAAATCTTCCCTTAATTATATTTTGTGAGGTCCTTTTAGATTTATGCTTAGCCGGGTACGTTGACTTCAGCTATAACCAGGTAGTGGACATCATACGCAATCTTGATCTTCTGTTGTATTAAGATGTGGTCAATCTGATATTTGGGCCTCCCATCAGAAGAATGTCACAGCTGTTTGTAGATGTTCTTAGAAGGATAAAAGTAATACCAATTATCATCCTTTCTGTGCTGTTTATGATTGCTAGTCAGAGTCCATTCCTATTTGATTATTCCAGTACTATACATGGTTGCTATGGTCTTCAATTGGTGGATCAAAGACATCAACCTTGAGACCAACCTTTACATTCATGTATCCAAACCAACATTGTTACATTATGGTGTGGTAGCCTTGTATCTTTTGGTATTTTTTTATAATAATTGTCTTTTCCCTCTTCCAACTACAATTAATTTTAATATGGGTAATTTTTCAGTTACCAATCACCTTCCCTGGTCCATTGCATCTTTTAGAGGGCTATTATATCTAATTTGTACCTGTCCTTCACCTCCATTCAGTGCTTTGCAAGTCCTACCCTTTATTGTGCCAAGTGTTTGTCATAAAATGTAGCTATATTCCAAGTTCTAATATAAGTTCTTTGTATTAATATGGTTTTTACAAGACAGGGCTCAAACCTCCATTTTTTTTTTGGGGGGGGGCTTGCACTGGTGTGGATTCAGAGACATCCTCCATGGTCAAGAATACAACTAATAATAACTTGAAAGGCCAAATTGACTCGGGGTTTACTTCCGTAGCCGTATACCTGCCAAGTTTGATCCGCAAGGCAGCAGGGCAATGGTTGGTAGGCGCCAGTGTGTGTCCACTTGCCAGTGGGCCTATACTCCATTCTTCTAGGGCCCACTGGTACTACGAGATCCCCTGCTGGTGTAGCCTGGGCACACACACACACACTCAAACTGTAGTACTCATACACTCCTCCTCAACAAGTGTGCTGCACACAATCTCACTATCACCAATACCTTGTTTAGGCAGGCCGACAAGTTCAAAGGATCATGGCAACACCCACAATCCAAACACTGACATCTCATTGACTACATCATTGTCAGAGAAAGAGATCACCGAGATGCCCCCATCACCTGTGTCATGCGTGGCTCAGACCACTGTGACACTGATCATCGGCTTGTCAGAGCCAAGCTCTCACTTCACTTCACTTCACGTCACCCCAAAACGGCAAAGGCGGCAAGCCTGCAGAAGAGGTTTTAACACTAATCGTCTGGAGGATCCAGCGGTAGCACATGCTTTCAGAGAGCAGCTCGAACATGGGCTAATAAACAACCCAAATCCCAGTGCTGAATGGGATATTCTTGACACTGTCATGACAAAAACCTGCAGAGACCCTCAGCCAGATCGAAAGAATACACCAGGACTGGTTTGATGAAAATGACCCGGCAATCAATGTACTCGCTGCTTTAACTGACTGGCAGAACAATCCTCAGTCTTGGACCAAAGTAGATACCTTCCGCAAGAAGAAAGCGGCAGCCCAGCGGGAACTTTGCAATCTAAAGAACGACTGGTTTATAAATAAAGCACGTTGCAGATCAGCACAAGATGCGCGAATTTTTCAATTCCACTAAAACATTTTATGGGCCAATCACTCATGGCGCAGCCCCTCTCCGCTAATCCGATGGCAACTCCATAATTTAAGACAATGAAGGCCTCCTTCAGTGCTGGAAAGAGCACTACCATTCACTGCTCAACCGAAACACAAATGTGGATGTCCTGACTACCCAGCAGGTGCCTCAGCATCCAGAGCTGACCCACCTCAGCTATCCTCCATCCCTGGATGAGGTAGCTACTGCCATCAAACAGATGAAAAATAACAAAACCTAAGGACCTGATGGAATCCCAGCCGAGGTGTATAAAGCAGGAGGACCTCTGTTTACCAGCCGTCTCCACTCTCTCCTGGAGAATATACGGGAAAAAGAGGAAATTTCCCAAGCTCTTAAAGACACCTCTCTCATCAATATTTATAAAAACAAGGGAGTCCGGTCAGACCGGCTGCCCCTCCCGCACTAGATGTAGTCCCTCACATATACAATTTCTGTGATCGACCCTGCCAGTCTCGTATCGGCCTCTTTAGTCACCCCAGAACTCACCAACCTAGGTGACATCCTTAATAACTCATAAAATTTTATCATAGCTGGATGATCGTCATGCTTGATTCCACGTGACAGCAAAGTAGTAGTACTGTAGTAGTGTGTGTGTGTGTGTGTGTGTGTGTGTGTGTTAATGTGACACATTCTTCTTGTTACCTATCACTAATAGACTAATGGTGACTGTTTCCAAAAATCCCTGAAATTGGATGTGGTGGGAACTGAATTATTTCATGAATTAGTCCCATTCTCTAATGTTTACGGGTGAACGAAGAACTCGGGGCAATAATACAAGTTATCTAGTGAAGGGCGCCAGCCATATATACAATTTATCTTGAATGCTTGACCCTGTCCTAGTCATACATATACAGTACAGGAAGTAATTAGACATAGGAATGTATGACTGACATTTTAATATATGGCAATGACTTGGGAATAGATAACTCTCAAGATATATAATTCTGTCCTAGAAAAGAAGAAAATGAGTTAATTAAATGATATCAGCCTAAAGGTGTGGGTGGTAGTAAAACAGGGTAGATGATAAAGCTCTATGGATGAACGAAGTGGATGAAGCTGGGTAATACGGAGGGTTGATGATAAAGCTCTATGGATGAACAAAGTGGATGAAACTGGGTAATACTGTAGTATATTAACCAAAGGATGGATGATAGTGATCTACAGCCAATGATGCCAAACTGATCTAGAGATAATAATACTGATCAAGGGATAATAACACTGATTTAGATATAATTACACTGATACTAGATATAACACTGATCATAAGATAATAACACTGATCTAGAGATAATAACACTGATCTAGAGATAATATTGATCTAGATATGATAACACTGATCTAGATAAGATAACACTGTTCTTGAGATAACACCAATCTAGAGATAACACTGATCTAGAGATAACATTGATCTATGGATAATAACTGATCTAGATATGATAACACTGATCTAGAGATAATAACACTGATCTAGAGATAATAACACTGATCTAGAGATAACACTGATCTAGAGATAATAACACTGATCTAGAGATAATAACACTGATCTAGAGATAACACTGATCTAGAGATAATAACACTGATCTAATATGATAACACTGATCTAATATGATAACACTGATCTAGAGATAATAACACTGATCTAGAGATAATAACACTGATTTAGAGATAATAACACTGATCTAGAGATAATAACACTGATCTAGAGATAATAACACTGATCTAGAGATAATAACACTGATCTAGAGATAACACTGATCTAGAGATAATAACACTGATCTGAGATAACACTGATCTAGAGATAATAACACTGATCTAGAGATAATAACACTGATCTAGAGATAATAACACTGATCTAGAGATAATAACACTGATCTAGATGATAACACTGATCTAGAGATAATAACACTGATCTAGAGATAATAACACTGATCTAGAGATAACACTGATCTAGAGATAATAACACTGATCTAATATGATAACACTGATCTAGAGATAACACTGATCTAGAGATAACACTGATCTACCTAGATAACACTGATCTAGAGATAACACTGATCTAGAGATAATAACACTGATCTAGAGATAACACTGATCTAGATATAACACTGATCTAGAGATAACACTGATCTAGAGATAATAAACTGATCTGGATCTAGATATGATAACACTGATCTAGATATGATAACACTGATGTAGATATGATAACACTGATCTAGAGAAAATAACACTGATATGATAATAACACTGATCTAGAGATAACACTGATCTAGATATGATAACACTGATCTAGAGACTAGAGATAATAACACTGATCTAGAGATAACACTGATCTAGATATGATAACACTGATCTAGAGAAAATACCACTGATTTAGAGATAACACTGATCTAGAGATAACACTGATCTAGAGATAATAACACTGATCTAGATAACACTGATCTAGAGATAACACTGATCTAGAGATAACACTGATCTAGATATGATAACACTGATCTAGAGATAACACTGATCTAGAGATAATAACACTGATCTAGAGATAATAACACTGATCTAGAGATAACACTGATCTAGAGATAACACTGATCTAGAGATAACACTGATCTAGATATGAAAACACTGATCTAGAGATAACACTGATCTAGAGATAATAACACTGATCTAGAGATAATAACACTGATCTAGATATGATAACACTGATCTAGAGATAACACTGATCTAGAGATAATAACACTGATCTAGAGATAACACTGATCTAGAGATAATAACACTGATCTAGATATGATAACACTGATCTAGATATGATAACACTGATCTAGATATGATAACACTGATCTAGAGAAAATAACACTGATTTAGAGATAATAACACTGATCTAGATATGATAACACTGATCTAGAGATAACACTGATCTAGATATGATAACACTGATCTAGAGAAAATAACACTGATTTAGAGATAATAACACTGATCTAGATATGATAACACTGATCTAGAGATAACACTGATCTAGATATGATAACACTGATCTAGAGATAACACTGATCTAGATATGAAAACACTGATCTAGAGATAACACTGATCTAGAGATAATAACACTGATCTAGATATAACACTGACCTAGATATAACACTGACCTAGATATAACACCCACCTAGATAGAACACTAATCTAGAGATAACAGTAATCTAGATATGATAACAGATCTGGATAATAACACAGATCTTGGGTGATAACACTGACCTTGGGATGATAACACTGATCCAGGGATGACAACACAGAGATGATAACACTAATCTCGAGACATAGACCCAGGGATAACACTGACCTGAGAGAGCACGACGATAACTTCCTCGTTACGTATCCTGGCCAGCATGGTGGAGGCTACTGACAGTATGTAGTCGCCAGCCATCACCGCCTGGGGGGAGTCATACATCAGTATTCTTATCAACATTTGCACAACTGTGAATTTACAGGTGGCATTGTGCTTGTGAAGGATAGTTACCACCCCCCCCCCTCCGCAAATCATCATAAATTCGTACTGTATGGCCAAAACTAATCAGGCCGTTTTTTTTATTAATTCTATAGTGCATAGGAATCGATAACTCAGTGATATTTCAACATTTGTCAGATATGAAAGAGAGAGAGAGAGTCACACAAATCCTTAATCACAAGTCATTAATAAGGACCATGAATTGGTAATTAATCAATATCAAGAACTGGGATTTGTTTACCAGAAAACAGAGTTCCTTAATGAATACTTCAGCTGAAACAAATAAAGTACATTCAGTGCACTATTTTATAAGTACATATAGTAAAATCAATAAACATTACGCTATCTTATCTACACCGCACGTGTCATAAACATGCTTAATATAAAAAAAAACTGAAAACATGTCTGGTAAATTGATGTACCCACACTTAATCTAGTGTCATCCAGTAACTCTTAAATCTAATTATGAAATAATGGTAATATGTAAATGTTCACGGTTAGGGGAGTGTGTGTTCTACAAATTCCACCACCAATATAGCACATGTAAACATGAATACTAAAGTGTCGTAACATCATCGAAAACTTACCGGTTGCTTGATAATCTGCATGGCAGTGAAGCTACACTGTCATATGCTGTTATTCACCTAGTCTTGGGTTTAGCGCAAACTTTCGTTACATAACCAATATTACGCAAATAGTTACATTGTCAGGCATAAAATAAAGAGAACTGCAAACGAGCAGTGGATGATGGACGCCCCCGTCCTTTATATTGATCTCTGGCCTTACTAACACAGAAATTAAAGGTGTGTAGAGTTCTTGTGTGTTGCTTAGGATTTTTAAGAGATATATGTAAGGGAAATTGCTTCGGACGGAGTGTTCACAAGCGGATTCTTCGGTGAGGTGCCATGTATATTATAGAGGGTGTGGCAACACCCGGGTCTGAGATGACACAAACCTTCACCCTCGTTGTTGTCATTATGACTCATAATGTAAGTGCAATATCCGTGACGCCATTACCACACGTAGTAATAACAGGGCGTCGAGGTCTGGCAACATTCAATGACGATCATAATGACTCTGTCCAAGAAGTCCGAACTTCCGTACATTGTGATAAGGCAATAATCAAGGATAAAAAAAAATACGTGCAAATTATCAAAGAAACGGGATAGTAAATGGTGATGTTGTCCTTGACGTACGATGTGCCCGGTCGTCTTCCTGTTGCTGTCTTCGGGGAGAAGCCAGCCGAAGACCCGGACAAGTATTGAAGTGTGCCCGTTTTTACTTTGTCTTAATAATATATTCTAGCATGCTGAAACAGTGGCACGAGAACGGACAGCCCATTCGTGTTACCGATTTATCCAATGAGGCAGTATAAAAATATACAGTGAATGCCTGTTTATGATAATAGATGTACAGTAAAGACAAGTGTACGAGTCGTGCGTATAAAAGTAAGGAAATATAATTAAAAAATATTGTATAGTACATGTTTAGAAATCGCATAACCTAACCTAAACCATTAATATATTCTACACTCGTCACATTTAATCACAAACAGCTCATTTATAACAATTTGGGACGTGATCAAAGCTGAAATTCGGCAATAGTATGTTAGGGCAGATGTGATGTTAGGTGGTTATGTGCTTACTGAATGTTTATTGGATATGTTATGTGGTCAAGTTACGTTAATTTAGATGTTTATATCATGTTGTGTTTGTTGGACTAATACAATATAATTTCGATGTAACTACTAAGTAAAATATTTGTGGTGTAAACAAAACTTGGATTTTTAAAAGACTTCTACAACAAAGACCGACAATGACAGAGGTGGACAGCCCTCGACCTTCAGGTTGTGGGGGGGCGCCAACCTCTACCTTCCCCCTCTACACTTGCCGATCAGCCTCTCACATTCATAATCTGAAGGAAAAGTGTTGGTGGTATAGGATCAACAGCGTCCCACAAAGCGTTGACCTGTAGATGTTGAAGCGAAAGTTGTCTGACAGGAAAAAAAAAAAGCCTCCCGAGTGTTATAATTTTGCTAGATGCTTGTTCCTGTGTACGGTATAATGATCTCCTTGTCAATCTGTACATGGAACATCTCACCTTCCCTCCCACCATCCTCTTTTTTTTAAATTGATCTCTTCTTTGGCTGTATATACCTGTCTCTATTCCCCCTTTTATCTCTATCTCTTCTTTATGTCTGTATACATCTGTATTCTTTTCAAAATTTTCCGCATGTCTATATGTTTCAATTTCTCAATGACTTTTTCCCCATCTTTCATTGTCTTCTATTATCTCAATATTTCTACTGCATTTCCCTCTGCCTCAACTATCACTCCCTTCATTACTTTTCCCAGTAAATATTCCGATGTCTAAACATATTCAGATAGGGAGAGTTTACTCAGAAACCTCAATATACAGAGACTAACACCCACAGAGCAACCCCCTCGCCGAGAACGACAAATATTTACAGTCCCATGATAATAAATTATATAAATTTACAGTTCACTTGAAACATCGACTAACGTGCTCCCACTCGCATACACACATTCACTGAAGCACCTTTCTCTCTTGCATAATATTTTTTCCCCCGATGGTGCTGATGATCGGGAAATGGTGCTGAGGGAGGAGTGGAGTGCACGTCATTACTACCAGCATCACCACCTCACCCTGCACAGTTGCTATCCCGGTCACCATGTCCTCGACCAACCTACCTTACGTTGGCCGTAGAGGGAGTTAACAGAAGGTTTGCCGCGACGTGTGTCAGAGGCGTCGAGGACATCGTCGTGAACCAGGGACGCCGTATGAATCATCTCTGCCACCTTCGCCACTTCACGCTGAGACTCAAACAATCTGAAATAGCAATAAAAACCTTTGGTATGTCATCATTTACCTGAGAACGTGATCCTTTACAGTATATTACAGTTACTGTAATACATGTACCTAATGTTGGTATCTACTGTTATGGTCAAATTTATCACCAGCCAATGGTAACCTACATAGTATACAGTACAGTAGTAGTAAAATTTGATGGCGAACACACGCTAAATGTCAACACCACCAAAATATTATAAAAATAGTATCTAAGTCGGTGTGTGTTAGCAAAAGAGCTTCCAAAAGTGTTCTGTACTTGTTGTTTAATCAGCGGTCAAACAGGTCAGTCTCAACCCCGGGAAAAACCTGAAGGTTGCCAGTGAAAGTCTGAGACTCAATCTCCTACCCCCTACCAACCAGCTTGAAGGAATTTCCTAGGCAACAAACCCATTCTCCCGGACCAGGATAACTACCACCGCCACACACAGGTCACCTTCCACCAACAGGTTGTGGGTCATAACCACCAATACCTGCGGCCCCCTTCACCCTTGTCCTTTAGATCCGTATCACAAAATTTGCACCGCAGGAGCAATCACCATCGCATGGAGTCATCCCCAGGCTGATAGTGAAATTATCGCTCCATATGTCTAAAGTTTAAATTATCGCTCCGTATGTCTAAAGTCTAAATTATCGCTCCGTCTCCAACAAGTTAATCTATAACTACGCTTCGAATTAATGTATTTTGTATAACACTGATGATGTCAATTACTCTGTACAAGAGTGTGTGTGTGTTTTGGGTGTCCACAAAGTGAGTGTGTGTTCTGGATATTCACAGAGTGTGTGTGTGTGTGTGTTCTGGGTGTCCATAGAGTGAGTCAGTTCTGACTATAGTAAATAAGTCTTCTCAGATAGAAACAGGTGAAAGCACTTAGGTAATCGTGGTAATCTGTGGCTCCCTCTACATAGCAGCCACAGTAACCTTGGTAATAAGTGAGTAATACATAATTTTCCACTTGTCATTGTGGACACTATACAGTATAATTAAACATTTAAAACTATATAGGAAAAGTATTGAAAATTTTAATGATTTGTTGTGAATGAACTACAGAGACGCATATAAGTTAATCTCAACCAGAGGATTATTGACGTACAGATAACTGAATGACTTACCAACTTACGAGTAGTTTATAAACAAGTTTCAGAAGTGCTCCTCGCTGAAATTTTTTATACTTATCAGATAAATTAATTTAGAGACGATGCCATAAATCAACACTTATATCCTCAACGATGCTCATATTTTCCCTCTGTGAAGCTCCCTTTTGTCTATTACAATATAGTGATTTTTTTAGGATTTATTTTTAATTGAGAATCATTACTTTTGTCTTTACAGCAATAACACTAAGCATTATATTCTTCGCATTTTCCACTTATCTGTTGGCAATTTTTTTAAGTGCCTCCTGACCATATGCAATATGAGGAGCGCCATCTACACCAAATATTTTACATTGCTTTACCATCTACTAATACTCTATCACTGCTATTTACAACTCTCGTGAAAAATTCAATATACTGTACATGTTACACACTGTTGAAGATGTCAAGTTGCCTTATATAATTCCCTATCTAGCTCCAAGCAACCAGTAATACATACAAACATACATACTGTACGTACATACATACATACATACAATATATATTTCATGTAGATCCACAATGAAAACGTGGATAAGATAAATCTTGATAAAATCACACGGGAAAAGGGAAACAACGGAGCACCTTAGCTTTCGTCTTTATTCAAGACATCTTCAGAGGCAACTGAAGATGTCTTGAATAAAGACGAAAGCTAAGGTGCTCCGTTGTTTCCCTATTCCCGTGTGATTTTATCACATATATATATATATATATATATATATATATATATATATATATATATATATATATATATATATATATATATATATATATATATATATATATATATATATATATATATATATATATATATATATATATATATATATATATATATATATATATATATATATATATATATAAGGAAAGAAGAAAACACGAAGTTCCCAAGCGCTTTCGTGTAATTCACATCTTCAGGGGTGAGTACAGACTAGAGAGAGTAATACAAATCAAGGTGTATATATACAGAGGAGGGTGAGACCAGGTCCACAATGGTCAGGTATTTACTTGCATATATATATATATACTGTATATACATACAATATATATACATACAATAGTTCCTCTTCCAAGTCTATTTTGATTGTCTATTCAAGTCAGAACTCTATTTAAAATTATATCTAATAAGAGTTTTCATGCAAGACTGTGTGTGTGTGTACCCCGGGAGGGGCCCGCAACCGCCTGCACTATGCACCGGGGTGTAAAAGAGAGCGGGGCACCAGTGGCACTGGCGTTTCAGGAACCCGTTCACGCGAGCTCATCTCGGTGTGGCTGACACTCATTAAACACAAGCAGCCGCGGGTGGTTGACACACCTAGATGAAGTGGGGTGAACGGGTTCGTGATACACCAATACAGTAGGCCATTCTCTTTTACAGCTCCGTGTGTAGTGCAGGCGGTTGCGGGCCTCACCCAGGGTACATTACCTATCTGAGTACAAGCACATTTGTCGATCTTTAGATCCATGCAAGAATAATTGTCAACTGCCTTTTTAAGATTTTTTTTTTTTTTTTTTTTACAATAACTGGGCAGGTTTCCTATGTACAGTACCTAGTTACATATCTCGGTAACAAAAAAGTGCCATTCCTTCCAACTTGTTTTAAAAATTCTACTGGAAGTTGTTCAACCTTATCTATAGTCATTTTACTCACAGGTGTCTCGCCTCAACTGGCAGCTTGATCATTACATCCTTTCATTTCTTTCCTCTACTCTCCTACTGTACAGTTCTTCATACTCTGTCTGTTACGTCTTCTGCCTACAATAATATTCTAAGATCTTAATTTTTATAGTTCCATCCCATTTATGTACATTTTCTTGCAGTTATGTCTCCTTCCATAATCATCTATTTCACTGTACTGTATATTGTTCTGTATTTCTTTGTAAGGAAATATTTTAACTGAAAAGGAAAAAACATACACAAAGCAAAGTGCAACAACAATAAACTACAACAATGTGAAGAGTTACATCACCACAGTAAAAAAACCCACTAATAATTGCATATGATTACGTAGGTGCAAAAGAGAAAGTGTTTATGTGAGCCCATGACGAGCCTACTGTTCATGGCTGACCTTTGACCTCACCACTCAATCACCTGTTTCTGTTGTTGTATGTCTGACGCCACTATTACCAGAGGGAGGGGGTTGTGGGGGTTGAGGGAGGGGATTGAAGGAGGGGATGTGGGAGGGGGATGTGGGAGGGGGATGGGATGATGATGGTGTCGTGGGAGGGTGTTAAGGAAGGGGATGTGGGAGGTGTAGTGGGAGGGTGTAGGGGTTTGGGGAAGGGGATTGAGGGAGGTGGATTCAGGGATAGGTTGAGGGAGGGGGTTGAGAGAGGGGTTGAGAGGGGGGGTTGAGGGGGGCTGAGAGGAGAGGGGGTTGAGGGAGGGGTTGAGGGAGGGGATTGAGAGAGGGGTTGAGGAAGGGGTTGAGGGAGGGGGTTGAGGAGGATTGAGAGGGGGTTGGGAGGAGGAGGGGAGAGGTTTGGGAGGGGATTGGGAGGGGTTGGGAGGATTGGAGAGGGGGGGAGGGTGGAGGGGGTTGAGGAGGGGGTTGAGAGGGGGTTGAGGGAGGAGGTTGAGGGAGGGATTGAGAGGAGGGTTGAGGGAGGGGGTTGAGGGAGGGGTTGAGGAGGGGATTGAGGGAGGGGATTGAGAGAGGGGTTGAGGAGGGGTTGAGGGAGGGGTTGAGGAGGATTGAGAGAGGGGTTGAGGAGGGAGGGAGAGGGTTGTGGGAGGGATTGAGGAGAGGGAGGGATTGAGAGAGGGGTTGAGGAGGAGTTGAGGGGAGGGGCTGAGGGTTGTGGGAGAGGGTTGTGGGAGGGGATTGAGAGAGGGGGTTGAGGGAGGGAGTTGAGGGAGGGGGCTGAGGAAGGGTGTTGTGGGAGAGGGTTGTGGGAGGGGATTGAGGGAGAGGAAATGAGGTAGGTATACATATCTTTGCCTCCCCCCATCACCACAACACCACTATGCCCCACGCGCCAACACACACTCACCATTATCATCATTTATCTCTTCTCAACTTCCGCGAAAAGTTTCTGGGTCTTAATGTATTCTAAATGACTATAAGACAGAGCCAATGTGTGTAAAGAATCAAATGCATTTAGATGAAGAAAAAATAAAGTAAACAGTTCGGGCGCGTTCGTGAACCTCAAGTACACAAAATCCGGGTTTTATATTCTCGACGAAATTTACCAGAACACACTGATGAGTGTACACTTTCTGGCAAGAGATGTGATGTTATATTATATGAATGTATCGCTTAATATTATTTGTTAATTACTAGTTTATGTACCAATATAGGATGCGCGTTTAAAGATCCTGGAAGCTGAAGCGAAGTAATAACACCAACCCTGGTCTTATCAAGTTTCTGCATGCATGTTTTTTGAGCATTATATTAAACCAGGCCACAAGGTGAAGGACACCATAATAATTGAGACAGCATCAGCTATTTATCAAAATCTATAAAGAATTTGACTAAAAAGGTTCATCTTAAAGTGCAGTTATAACTCATACATCGACTTGTCATGGTATAGTATCAGAACACATTGAGGAGCTCGGTATTCACTCCATCACCTAATACCTGAAACAGTTGGGGTCTCACCTGTCTTCATTGTGGAGGTGAGAGTTGATGGCACGAGACATGAGCACGGTGATCATGGGCCGTACCGCCTTCCCCTGGCCGTCGAAATAATACTTTGCGATCTCGTACAGCTCGAACTGCGACTGCAACTCCTGTAGAGGGTAGGAAATGGAATGGGTTATATTACGTGTGTGTTACTGGAGGAGGCAGAATGTTATATTACAGCGTCAGAGATGGATACCTGTGTCGTATCACTGTAAATGTGTGTCCTAAAACTGCAAATGGACGTGTCATATTACTGTACGAGTGGGAGGTATAATGTGTCGCCTAACAGTATCAATGAGTAAGAAACATGTGTCGTCGCTTCTTCAGTTAGAGAAACGTGTCACTGGGTCAATGAAGGAACAATATCTGAGATATTTAGGAAGGTTTACGTGACAGTCTGGTCACACGGCGGGGTAGGAATATACTGTAGGTGACAGGAAAAAGGTAAAGAAAAAAAATGACAAAATAGTCACAATTTTAGCTAAGTTGGGTTAGGTAAGGCTACTTTTGTGATTTTTTTTTCTTCCAAATTCAATAAACCGTAACCTAACCCATGTGACCCTACAACACACCAAGAATCAGTAAGGGACATGTTACACTTATTCCATTTGTGTGGGTAAAAAGGAAAGCTTTTGAAGTTTGTAACTTTCAGATACAAAATAGTAATTTCACTTCACACCTCCAAAGGGCCGTGAGTTGCGACAATTAATGACCAAGTTATTAGTAGACAACACCTGTGTGTGTGTGTGTGTGTGTGTGTGTAGAAAGCTTAGCAAATTAACAGCAGAAGTACAGGCTGCTGACAAAAATATATGCCAACACCTCGCCGACATTTCTGGTGAACTGCACATGATAATTCTACCTAAAGTACCAGTCCGCGAGGGAATTATTTGCGTTGGGGGGAGGAACACCTTTATTTTACTGCCCCTCGTATCTTACGTATGTGGTGTTACAGATTATATTTACACGGAGTCTCGCATTTCCCACAACTCTTTATTCCTGAAAAAATCGTAGGACATGAAATAAATTCTAGTACTGACGACAAAATTGGTTTCGAAAGTGAGCACCAGCAACCTGAGCTAACATCCCTGACTACTCTTACCGTATATATATATACACTGCCGACGAGCTAAAGACGTCTCTCACGGTTTGTAATGGTAAAGAAAAACATTCTTCTTTAAACTACAGCCACAGAGAAAACTTCTATCCGAAAGAGATTATCTCATAAAGGTGTCGACTTATTGTTCATTATCAGATATAATTCACCTTACGCATTTTAAATTATATATAAACCGGTATAATAAAGCTATAAACGTTCAAATTAATTCTACATTTCCTTTAGCACGTGTACACTGTGAGGTGAGGCAGCAACACCGCTCGTGCACTCTTCCCGGCTCCGCATTATTCACACGAAAGGATAAAACAGTACAGTATAGCAGCAATGCCTTGGTGACCCTGGCAGCAGCTTTTACTTCACACACTCACCACGTGAAAATTAAATACTTTCTCAATAAAACAGACGGGTTACAGGTATTGAACTGATTCCTAAAACGCTCGTCTAAAATGAGAGAATAACAGCAACAACACCAACACTACTCTGAGTAAGAGTAGCGCAGACTAATAACCCTTCCGTCCCCAACACTGATCCTACACCACCACACTTCCTCCTCCACAGTGCCACTCGCAGGCAGCAGATCTTCTTCCTCCTCAGGCTACAAAATAAAATTTAGTCATTATTTTCTTCGTTCATAAAAGTTTCTTCTTTTAACCGCAAGCCGTAGTGAGACGGTAACTGTCACAACACATGACGCCTGTGAGGAAGAATGCTTCACACTCACCTCGAGTTTAATTATAGTATAAACATAACAATTCATATTCAAAACAGACAATTAACTGTGAAACAACCACTTTTTAAACAACAGACACCGCTTGACTGAACTCACTAAGTTAAACACGTAATACATCCACTAATTAATTTGCGTTACACTTCTTGCACTCCATGTACTGATGGTCCACACGAAAATTTCATGAAATATATAATGAACGCCGAATTGTACATTTTAGTTGAATTATTCCTATTATCGGACGTAAAATGGAAGGTGGATCAGTGTTCCTCCCGAGCCGTTAGTGGGTACGTGTGTGTTAGGGAAGCTTTGTAAACAGGGATTTTAACCAAGTGCTACCACCGTTAAGCATGAAAAAAAAAATCGTAAAATTATTTATTTTTAGGTTATCTTGTTACACAACTCATTAACTGTATATCAGTAGACATGTATGTTACAGTGAAGAAATGCAATTTACACAACCAAAGCACATGGTTTGGTTAGCTGACGATCGTAGCGATTACCAACAAGGAACATTAATTTCTTACATGACCAACTTCTAAACATAACTTGCACCACCAATTAAGAACTGCTTATTTTCTTGGAACACCAAACAGTTTATCCACATCACTCTACAATACAAGTCCAGTAGATGCATTCTAAAGTGTAAACCATGGCAGAGATTAAACAAAAATCTTATTGTTTAAACCACCCCTTCGTCTGTCTTGTAATGGTTAACACGTCTGGGTATCACGTGTCATGTAAAAAAAATAATACTCCCAAAACGTAACATGCCCTTACACATAATATACCAGCGGAAAATAACGTAAAATTCAGATTAAATTATTCATAAACATCATCTACACTGGATTACACAAACAAAAACACTGTGAATACGATAGACCTGTTTAATCAATTATATACCAGGAAAGATAAAACATTGCCAACAAATGTTTTTAATTTTAAGTGAAGTGGTAGTGTAGCCAACAAGTCATATAATAATCAGAGGTGTGGATATATATGGAGGGACACAAGAATCTCAGACTCAAGCCGAGTTGCGGAGGAGATAATTGTGATCCAGGAAGTTGTCTCTTGTACATGACACTCACGCCACGTCACACCAGCTCACCCTCCACCCCTTGTTCATCTAATCATTTCACTGAAAATTTGACGTAACTTCTATTAATTGCCATGTAATGTGGTTAATTCTGTTTACCTTATATAAAACCCTGAGAATGTGTGTTATACTAAAAACTATCTCTTCTCGACACACTACTTGTTCTTGTAGCTAAAATATATTTCGGCTTAGCTTTGGCTTCAACTACATAATAGCCCTGTCAGTGCCAAAGCGTCGTTGTCTTTGCCTTAATGATCAAGTAATCCTCCACGACATTCCATCTGCTCTTAGCCACTTCACTATTGGCTGTCCGACTTTAACAGTATCCAGAGTTCCCTAAACAAGATTTCGATGCCAGCAACTTCCAGCGCCGAGACGTGTGGCGTCCCTCCCTCCCCCCGCGAGTCACTGATCTAGAAATGTGAAACAGTTTTCACTGGAAGAATTCTGACGAGCCGCCAGTGAGAGTTCGACAGCGCTGCCTTGCGATGCACGTCCCGCCATGTTCATCTTCATGCTCCAGCTGCTCTCCTTATTCCACACGCTCCCACACCATACATCACGCGCCCTTCACGAAACATACTACACGCCCCCACGCCATACATCTCGCGTCCCTCGCATAACATACCACACGCCCCCACACCGTACGTCACGCGCCCCTTAGATACCGGCGAGCTAACTCATAACGACGGAGAAATGAGCAATAATCTGAATAAATATTTTTTAAGTTTTCACCACCGAAAATTTAAAAATGATACCCGAGGCACCGACTATATACAGAGATAGTGAAGAAAATAGATTAAGCGAGATAGTAGTGACTAGTAACGATGTTAGTAAGCAAATAGACAATTTAAAGCCATAAGTCGCCAGGTCCCGATGAGATATTTGCCAGAGTAAAGTAATGTAAGGAAGAGCTTAGTATGCCCTTGGCAAATTTGTTTAACATGTCCTTAAAATTGGGTGTAGTACCAGAATCCTGGAGGATAGCGAATGTAATACCAATTTTCACTATCCTCTAACTACCGTCCAATCAGCTTAACATCAATTGTAGGCAAATTACTGGAAGCAATAATTTCAAACTCTTCGAAATCACCTGGAGAAGCACAAGTTAATCAATGATTCCCAACATGGCTTCACGAGCGGGCAGTCATGTCTAACTAATCTATTAACATTCTTTTCAGCTGTTTCCGAATCAGTGGACGAGGAGCACGACTATGATGTGGTATATCTTGGCAGAGTCCCCCCACGAAAGACTAATAAGAAAATTGGAGGCTCATGGCATTGGAGGAGATATTCTAAAATGGATTAGTGCGTGGTTAGAGGAAGGGAAACAGCGAGTGAGTATTAATGGCACTAAATCCGATTGGAGTAACGTCACTAGTGGAGTACCCCAAGGCTCAGTACTTGGACCATTAATATTTATTGTATACATAAACGACATAGATATCGGCGTAGACAGCAACGTAAGTAAATTTGCTGATGACACTAAAATAGGGCATGTAATTAAATCTGAAGAGGACTCCGCAAAACTACAGAAAGATCTAAAAAAAATCGAATGGTCTGAAAAATGGCAGATGAAATTCAATGTGGATAAATGTAAAGTACTTAGTCTAGGAGATGTAAACAGAAACCAGATATCAGATGAACAACGATGTTATAGAAAAATCCGAATGTGAGAAAGATTTAGGAGTAATGATCAGTAGGAATCTTAAGCCAAGTAAACAATGTGTATTTGCTCGAAACATGGCTAGTAAAGTACTTAGGTTCATACAAAGGAGTGTTAGTTACATGACTAGCGAGGTCACCCTAAACTATACCTTGCGCTTGTGAGACCTCACTTGGATTACGCAGTTCAATTCTGGTCACCGTATTACAGAATGGATATAGAATCCCCCGGAAAGAATTCAGAGGAGAATGACAAGACTAATCCCGGAAATAAGGAACCCGGAAATAAGGAACCTTGAGTATAGAGACAGGTTAAAGCATCGTGATTTGCACTCCCTCGAGAGACGTAGAGTGAGGGGTGATATGATAGAGGTGTATAAATGAAGTCAGGGCTAAACAAAGGGGACATTACAAAGGTACTCAAACTATCCAACCAGGAACAACTCGTAACAATGGTTTTAAATTAGATCAATTTAGATTTCGGCGCGAAACAGGTAAACAT